GTGTACCGGCAGACCCTCATTTCGATGGATAGGCTGGTCCGGGCAAGTCTAAGAAAATGGCTACGACTCTCCAAGGACACCAGTGTTGCTTTCTTTCACGCATCAATTGAGGATTATGGTCTAGGGGTTCCGTGCCTTTCTAGGATGATCCAATTTCTTCGGAAGGACCGCCTAGAATGTCATCCTTCACTCGTCCACCTAGTTCTCAGCTGAGCAGTACGTGAACCTTCAACAGCTATCATCCAGCGACTAGCCATGAAAATCATAACATTGAGAATCAAGTGGCCTTGACAAAAGTGACGAGAAGGAAGCATGGAAAAACTCACTGGTTAAATCTGTGGACGGATCCTTGGTTCATGGGGTAATTACGAAGCCAGCGTCTCACAAATGGATAAGAAAATCCCTTTCCTCAGACTCTATACAAGAGGAATCCAATTTCGCGCAGGAGTGTCGTCGACAAAAACTCGATGTTCCAGGTGACGATCACTCCCAAACCCAACCGATCTTCACTACTAGTGAGCTTGCGGAAAAAGCTAAACACTTCCTCAGGTACTGCAGTCGTGTGCAGTAACCCACGATGCTCGTTGTAAGAGCCACAACAGTATCGTGAAGCAACTAACCAACACGCTTCGTCGCAAACAGCCCAAACCATCCCGGAGCCCCGCATCTTAGCTGCATTAACGTACATAAAGCAGGATTTAATCGCCATTAAGAACTACACAGCATATGTAATGGAGGTAGAAATATGCGATACCTACAGAATGTCCAGTAGCTACTGAAAAAAATTGACAAATACGGTGTAGATGCGCATGCGGAAGCCATAGCTGGCTTTGCGCGCTCGGAAATCCCTACAGCATTAAATATCATATATCACCCGATAATCATTAACAACGCAGTCTCTATCAAGCACATTCCGGCACTGGGGCTCACCAAACTTAACATATCAGACATGTGTGTGTCTACAATGCGAGTATCCCCTTAAACTGTACCACGCTTACATGCGGGTCGCGATGTCACAAAGCATATCACACTAACACCGTACACTCATACATCGCCGAGCGATTCCGACCATTTCCTTGCGTTTTATTTTATAACCGTTTCAATAGTAAGATAAGACATTTGCTCAAGCCCGGCGAAATTAAGTAATGCCCAGCCTAGGGCCATACATGAATTTGTCGAAAATATATGCTCATGGACCGTAAAACACACTGTAGTGAACCTTAGTAAATTCGAGCGCTAGAACCGCATCTGTAGCAGATGGAAATTTGGTGTTGCCCACCTGAAAACATAGCACTCCAGAACCGGTTTCCAAATTCTTTGGTCTCATTAGAGAAAGCAGGATTGCACTCGAACCCGGGATTTTGGGGGGTTAGCCAGAACCTGTACGCCAAAACCACCGAATGGCGAGCAGTAGCGTTTATCTTAACGGAAGACGGCTGATTGGAGGAGTCCGCTTAAAGTATAGATGAGAGGATTGTGACGCGAAATCTCATTGCGGAACGACTGCTTCCGAAGGATTTTGGAAAAAAACAACAAAATTACCGTGCCCATGAAAGGTATATGTACGTGTCCGCCTAACTCGCGTTTAATACAAACACCCAATTTACTCGCGTCAAACTCAAGCGCAGCACTTTATGCGAAATGCATGTGTCGTCAGTATCGGCGTACCACTGAAGTCTCGAAGGCTCGAGTTAGCCTGAACGGAGAGCCATTTTTGAATACACGCTGTGTGATTGGAACGTGACGCGCAATCTCTAGGTACACCACGATTCACATTGAAGTGAACCTTGGTTGATGCCATCATTGGGACCGTAGCCGAAGGAAACGGAAAATGGGTGTTGCCCGCCCGAAAACACTGCACAGGCACGATGTGTTTCCATAACATTTTATCAGGTGAAGATAGCAGGCCTGGAACCCACAACCACTGGGATAGTATTACTCGTAAGTAGCAGGATTTTAGTTGTAATTTGGTTGAGGTTTCTATCCCAGTGGTTCACAAGCCTCTCCTAGTTTCAAATGCTATGGATATAGCGTTTAAAGAGAGGTCATCACCTCGCAAGCTAGCCATTGTCAGTAACAGTGGAAGACAGGTGGTGCTATATCCCAGTTAGATTGTAAATTATGTAGTCCAGCTGACGTCCCCCATGGCTCGGTGGCTTAAGCTGCTGGCTTGTTGGCATGCGCCTCTAGCGGTCATGGGTTCGATCATCCTTAGAGGACCGAGGGAATGCGCACCACTGACGAGCCCCAATAGGGCGAAACGCGTCTGGTGCTTTTCCGGACTAGGCTCTGCTATGTAGCTTGTGAACTACTGGAATGAAAACCTCAACAACATTGGAATAGTAGCCAAAACCTCTACCACTTTGGCAACGGGGTCACGACGGGCAACGCTTGGCACAACAGTTAAAGACTGAATGGATGGCCAATTTGGAATACACGTTGTGTGATTGCGGGTTCGAGGCCTGCTATGCCCACCTCATGAGATAAAAGGATATCGAAACGCACCGTGGCTCTGCAGTGTTTTCGGGCGGGTAACACCGAATTTCCGTCTGCTCGAATTAGCCTTTTACTAGACTACAAAAGTACTCTTGCTGAAGGCTAGTCGCCCGTATCATACGTTCGGGTGCGCCATGGGGACCGGCATTCGTATTGGGCATGTGGGGTTCAGTTCATACATAAGATTACGTTCGTCCCAAATAGAAAACTTGTCCCAACTGGGTTAATTAAAAAAAATCAGATCAGTGATCTGCACCGGTGCATCACAACCATAAACTCAGGATGTCCATGCAAATGCTTCGCAGAAAATTGTGGACGAAGGTGTGAAGGCATTTGGGATTTCTATCGTGGAGAAACCAGGTTGCCATGCGGTGGAGCGAAAGAATCTTCACTGGGGTCTTACATGATCTTCAAGAGGAAGAGAACTCCCTTTATGACTCAAGTGTGTCGCAAGCTCACAACGGCCTATCAATAATCAGTTTATTACTCTTAAGGATCAAAGAGTAGGTGAGCACCTGATGATCCAACAACGGCAGTTCACATTTTGGAAGTTTAATGTGTGTATCAAAAAGTGGGATCACACCAGAAGGCGTGTCAAGCGGTGGATGTGTGGAGTCATGAATGCCAAACAGTAAGACGATGTCTGTGTACTCCACATCACCCATCGTTCACCGAGTAGTAAATCAATAGAGAAATACTGAGTGATGTAAGATGAGTTGCAATTATGTGAAAATAAGGTAATTAAGTAACGCCGAGGAGAGTGTCAGACAATACGCTGTAGAGAATGAAGTAAACTGCAATGCACTCGGTTAATACAAATAAGTCCCAATGATAATATCCTGTGAGAAGTTCAAACGATGACAGACTGTTAACAACGTTCAACTGAAGGATGACGAGCGTTAGAGCCCAAAACTATAGATCATTCAACCGATTCGCATTTGCAACGCCATTGACAAACGTCCGGTGGTTGACACTAATGTCAACGGCATTGAACTGTAGTCTCAATCTAGTGGCTTAGCAGAGAAGGCTTACGAACTGGACGGGGTGATCTCATCCTGGCGTTCCAGATTTTGAAAAACCCCAGTCACGCTTACCGCCACCTCCTGAAGCTTAGTTGCAACAAAAAATTGAAAGGACATAAATTGAAACTTGCCACTCAATACAGTCGGCTTGAGTGCCACTGGAATTATTTGTTCCTTCGAGTTTGTCAACCGTGGAACGTTCTTTCGAAGTTAGTCATTGCCGCGCCAACGCTACCCAATAAAAAAACGATTCGACTTTGCATTACACCATTAACATCATATGATCTGATTTCTAGTAACTGAGTGACGAGATGGCGCAGGTAAACATTGTGCTCACCAACCCCACGAAATCGGGATAGACGGATCTACCTGTGATAATGTGGATAATATCGTGAGTTCACGGACGCGTTTTTCTCTTTCGTGTAACTTCATTGAACAAACGATATCCCCATAAACTATCCCAGGGGGCTTGTAAAATATTGGCCTTTCTATCTGTTGTTCCATTGAATAACGACTATCGAACTTGAGGGTGTGCTCATTAAAGTACAATGGCAATAGGAGTGACGGCCATAGTAGCAGTATTTCGGAAAATTTCCAAGCGGTTCGCACTTAACACGCCACGAACACTTGCCGATCCATGAGTTAGGTACAAACCCTTGGACCGAGTGAGCTACTTCGATGGTGTACGGAGCATCATCTGTATATCCAAGCAGCGGCACTCAACCGACGAACCAACCCTGTCCTAAGTCCTACACTTCGGTTCTTGGATCCGTACCTGAGTTGCGTTGCTTAGCACCAGGTGCTGCATTTTTAAGTCAATGTGCGATTCTCTTGGGCTCCTCATGAGCCGCGGAGCTGTCCAAAGGTATGTGTTGTTGAGCCGAAAAGAAGCAGTCAGATCAGCGCTGGATGCACACCAGATTGGTTTATTAACTGACTTGCAATATACGTGTGCATCACGTTCCCTTGGAACGATGCCGATCATCCCATTAGTTGATAGAATGCTTGCGTCTAACCCCAAATCGATCAAGTACCATTAGTGTGAAGCTGTCAGACGTTCGGTTGCGGATGTTAGTATTAGATGACTGCAATTGATGGGTAAGCGACGACTAATGTGTGACACTGAGTTCCAAGATGCCAGAATCATATGGTATCCTCTCACAGCTATTCAGCCTAGTCAATGTGGTTGGGCTTTTAGCGAATGTACATAGTAACGGACTATGTTGGGAAGAGACGACGACGACGACAACAACAACAACAACTGTGAAAATGTTATCCCCCGTAATGTCCCGGTGATTTGTTGGAGAGTGTTTAGATAGTGGACGGTGTGCTAGGGTCAAGCTCAACGAAGTGTAGTGAGTTCAAGTGAGATAAAGCGTAGACGATCAGATATAAGGTGTGTTTTCCTCGTTCTGTAAGAGCACAAACCACAAGGAAGGAAAGGGTAGATGAGCACCAGTGAATAAAAGCATGAAATCTCACTTAATGTGGTTTGCTTCGAACTGTCTCGAATCCGCGGCAAATAGGCTGCATGGTAACTGCAAAGGACACATGTGACAAGTCCTCAACTGACTGATTACATCAGGCAATCGCGGGGTCCAACAACTGTAGTCAGATGACTGGGACGTCTCAGAGACACTTTGAAGCAACCGATGTAAGTGGTAGGCGATTCGGTTTCTAGCCTGCAGCAGACCTCGAAAACTGGGCAAAAGAGGAGCGACTAGTCCGGGATCGGGCTTCGCTGCATGTTTCAACTCGCGATCATCTTGCGGATAAACCAGCCAACCGGCATCCGCCGTGCGAGCAACTTGTCCATTCGGATGGGAGTATTCAGGACCGTATCGATCGCGTAGCAACATCATGTACAGCAACACCTAAAAATAAAAATGAGGATAGTTGACCGAAAAAGTAATAGGTGGCAGAGTACTGGTCAGCTTAGGCAGTTGACCCAAAACGATTCATCAAACTAGTTACTACAAGAATGATAGAGGCGAAGAAACAAAACCAACTTACGGTAAGAAGTATAAACAACCACTAGCGAGACAAACAGCATTCAAAGAATTTCGTTTGCTTTCTATTAGCATAGTGGCAAATGACGAGGCTTAGATACAAGCAATGAACTGAAAATGTAGTCATCGAAATCATTGCTTCCAATGGCTGAACCTACATTTTTGCTGGAGTCTAGGCTGGCCACGATGTCAAATTGGTTGCACAGGTTAGGAAAAGCCTCGGTAACCCGGAGCAAGGCGGGAGACGAACGACTGAACTGGTAGGTAAGCTAGGATCACTTGAAGCAAAGCCCATTCGGCGGAATGAGTTTCACAATCCTGATCAATGACGTTCACGCAGTTCGGACGATGTGTGCGCTACCAAAGGTACAGTTAGACCCTTAGACGTATGAGGTGATAGCGTGAGACATGTATCTAGTTAAACTGGAACCATGCATCCACGTCCTGGTTTGGTGCTATTTCACTAGCTGCACCGTGCAGTAGCAATCCTCTATGGATTGGGACAGCAGGTAGAAAAAGTGAATAAAGCCAAGGGTCTAGCTGTGTGCCGTAACAATCTAACATTATGGGGCGACGGGTGGAGGTACAAAACTGCGGAAAGGCTTGCGATAACCCCAAGAAATTTGAGACAGCTTACCTGTCCTTTGTGTTCGATAGAATAAGTTGGGCGGCCAGTTTTTAGTTCTAAAGGAAGCAAAACCAACGAATCAATCGCGGAGGTATTCAGTTTCGAAATCATACGGTTACGAGCTTCTGTCGGGGGAAGCAGACACAAAGCGGAGAGATCGATTCGGCCCTTGATCCCAAGTCTGAAAGTAAGGTACTTGGAAAAAGAACCCAAAGGAGAATCTCGAAACAAAAAGTCATAGCACCAGAACAGAGCTGTTTCTTAAACAAAGAAGGTAAAATTGCAAGAAAAGGAGAACAGAAGATGGGTAAGACTCAGACAAGACACGATCAACTAAAAATGGCTACGTATTTAAAGAACACGAAAATACCACAAAAGCGCGAGAGCAGGCGTAGCTAGTGGGTCAGATTTGTGTGACCAAGGAGGGTACGATGGAGCGTGCATAAGACGTCTCTGCAGCAATAGCTGCTCACTCGATTGATAGGGGCTCAAACAACGGGTATAGAAATGAAAGAAAATGCCAAGAGGGAGAAAAAAGGAGTCAACAGTGTAGTTTTTGCACAGTATAGACTGAAGTTAAGGGAAATCAGCAAGCCATTCAAACAAATGAATGTTATTCAGTAACTCAAGGTGATATTCGATGATCAGATTGGCGCTCAGAGTACGGCTGTATGGAAGGATGACAGAAGACTTACATCAAGAAACGGCAACAAAGACACTACATACAGCTCAGTGCTGACGATATAAAGTGAAGTATTTGATAAACAAAACAATGAAATCAGATATGGGGAATAGTGTTTAAAAGCTATGAGGTGAAGAGGTAACCGGGAGCAAAGGGAAGTTAACCCGTGTGGTGGGTGCCCCAGAGAGAGAGAGATGAACGCACCTACTCGACCATATGTTTTCTTCAATTTCCGTCACAACGTGAATTATAGGGAACATCGGGGGAGTGTGCGACCTATGGCACGGGAAATGTAAAGGGAGTTATGAGTGGCGGTATAACACACCACAAATAAACTTGGACGAAGTCAACATGCATTGTCCTGGTATGTGGAGGCGGAACGTTGACCTAGGGGAATCACACTACGCTTCTCGGTGCGTCATGTGCTCTAGTCAGTAGGATGAAATCAGAGCTGTATGAGGAAATTCTGCAGAAAAATCTTAGCAATCATTCGGACCAAATGACTCGTCGTCCATCATCAGGGTCACAAGAAATTGTGAGAAGAAATCTACGCATAGTGATTTCGCACCTCAGCTGCGTGTACACATGAGAGCATATATTAAGTAATGCAAAAAGCAATAAGAATTATGGTAGAAACAGTAAACAAGAAACGTCCCAATTACCTAGTCTGATACACGATGTGACGGCGTGATTGGTGAGTACACGGTTGTTCAATAGGATGCTATCACTGCTCTACACTATGACAGCGCATACATATTAATGCATAAATAAAAGTAGAGAAGTTGAAAGTGCTATGCTTTGGAGAATCTGTTGTGTCTACGGATTAAAACGAGTAAACTCTGTCAATAAAACAATTCATTCTGAAAAGATCCACGCCATTTAGATCGACGGGCTGGTATCTGAGGTGCATAATCACAGGAAACCAACTCGATGCCAAAACTCTAAAGCCCTTCCAAAGTTGTCGAGAGGACGTTTTCGATCGCAAATATGAAGGGAAACGGAGAAATAGGGCATCCTTGTCGAACATCAATAGTGACACGGAAAAGTGCAGAAAGTTTGTCGCAGACTTTCATTTTACCTGAAATATGGGGGTATATTGACCAAAATATAGCGACGTACTTTTCGGGAACTCCATTCTTTAGCAGGCATCGCCAAAAAGTAGGTCGGTCTACTGGGTCGAATGCAGCCCGAATTTTCAGGAAGACAAGAAGGGGAGTCTGCAGTAGAGATGACGACGTTCAAGGAACCTACAGAATGAGAATATTCGGTCTACACATCATCAACCGGGGCGAAAACCAGTCCGCTTTTAAAGGTAGTGTTTTCCGTGTTGGCTCTAGCCTGTGGAGCATGATGTAGGCTAGTATCTAGGACGCGATGTAGACTGATCCCTCTGTGAGTGGAGCATGAAGAACGAGAACCTTTCTTGAAGATTGGGACAATTACCGACTCTTCTCATGAAGAGGGCACCCTTTGTAGGGGTCATAGCTACAGGAATAGGGATGTCAGCTGATTGACAGCTGCTGTGTCACCGTACTTGAACACTTCCGGAGGAACTTCGTCCCAGCACGCAGCCTTAAAGCGCTTCAGATGTGGGATGTTAACAGAAACTTCTGCTTCACAAAGGTGGTTGTAGTGACAGTGCCGATGGCATGCGAAGAGGTGCGCTGGGTGCAAAGGTAGACGGCCAGAAGCAACCAAGTTGAGATTAGAAATGGTCATCGCATCTGTCAATGCATCTCTGCAAGCAAATGATTTGCGTCAGATCCGACTCACGGATGACGTTGCTGATATCAGACCCCCTGTGCCCAATGGTCAGGATGAAATGGAACGTCCTGCCCGTGGACTTAGGGATCGTAAGCCTGTCTTGTAATCTGAAGGCGCGGATTCGGGCCTGCGTAGGGGACCGGGTGACCCTCGCAGTATCCTTTGCCCACGCGCGACTGCTGGTGGCCGCGCGGCAGCGAAGCGTGAGTACTATGTGTGGCATACTGATGATACTTTTTACATTATTTCTAGTGAGAGCGGCGGCCTTAATCTCCAAGACACGTTAGCATCATCAAAATTCCCGACCGCCGCAAAGGCTTCATTTGTAGTCGGTTGGAAATGCAGAGAAGTTAACTGGGAGATTTCGGCGGTCGAACGATGCTAATGATAACTTCACCAACAGACTGATTGGCCCTAATTTAACATTGGACGATGGAGGAAGCTCCAATGGTGTTCAATGTCAGTGGGTGAAACGCAGGCTAATTTGCTTATCAGGGACAGTTGATAGTTCAGCTGAGCCGAGTAATCATTCAGCCTGTTCGAATCGAGTCTAGAATGCTTCCGCCTCGGGGGCCTTTCGAATCGCATACAGATATTTGTATAAACTAGCGTGTGATCTGAATCAAGATCAGTAGTCCAAAGTGATAGATAAGCTTGCAGGCTAACCCGCCATTTGAAACTGATTGCACTGTGGTCTATTTCAGACCAAGGCGGTGTTGGGTAAGGAGTTCAGCAAGTGGCAGAACGCCTCCTGGAGTGCCTGAAGCTTGCGATTGCGAGAAATAGACCGTTAGCTTCACATGGAGTAATAAACTAAGGTTCCGTTATCCGGGCGATTTTCACTCAGTGTGTGATGAACACACAAGTGAAATTCATCTGGTAACTGGCGATCAATTCGTGCGTTGAAATCTACCGCGGGGAAAACGACGTCCTATTTGGCCGCTTTACGTAACAGCTGATAGAGTTGGTGGGAGCAACCGTATTCGATTAATTCATAGGAACAATCGGTTAGTGGAAAAATAGAAATCACAAAGAGGATGCGCCTCTTAGCGTGATGCCATTTGGACCTCCGCAAATCTTGAAGACGAACAGCGCAGTCGGTTGTTTAACCGAAACCGATCCAGGAATGCAGACACGGCCTAGCTGCTTGAAACCACATCAACGTTAGTCAATCCAGATGCAGCTTCTGTCGCGTCGCTAGATCAACGTAGGTTGTGTGACTTCCTAATTTGTCGGCGAAAAATAACGAAACTGGTACGCCATACATTAGTTAGCGAGACTGCACCGACTTTTCCTATATATATATATATATATATATGTGAAATCGACAAGAGGTGCACAAACGCTTGTCAAGAAAACTATGCCGCAGACTCAAAAAATTCTATCCAGCCCTGTTTCACCCGTTATTCAAACAACCGGGCAATTATTGGACATCGGTAGATTGACCTCCCTTGTGCCTGGGCATTGGAAATGGGGTTTCCCACTGACTTGGAAAGTGATTAGATCCCAGCTTTAGTGTGAACATATTCATCAGGAGCAGTGGCATGTCAGTGTCTCCCAGTTAAATAGAGGAACGTGGTAGGTTATCAGAGCTCAGTTTGGAGAGTGGCGTGATTGACGCAATAATTTGGAGGATTTCGTTGAGTAAAATATTAGCTCTGCTTAAGATATTTGATACTGCAAATTCTGTGTACGCAGGTAACTGATCATCTACGAGATATATAAAGTGTCAAAGAAGTAACTTAACGCCTCACAAGTTGCAGCTGGGTCATGAATTACAGTATATTACCGAATTTTTGGACGATTGTTTTTTCCGCAGTGCGGGACTGTACGGAATTTGAAAAAAGTCACACGCAATGTCCACCCAGGAATTCACTGTCCACCAGCCGCTAGTGACGGTCGGTATTCCAGAGGTGGATTGGAAGTGCCTATAATTGGACACGTTACTCTGGTATCGAAAATACTCGGTATATTGCACACGTGACGCTCGCGACGGATGGCAGTAGCGAATCAAAAGCCCTTAAACATTATGCCGTGCCAGGCGATCCGGTGCCTTAAAAGTATAACGTCGTCCCACGTCCCTGACCGTGAACTCTGATCTCACCCACCGCTCAAATGTGGTTCACATGCATGAGGCCCCTCTGATTGACACACCCTCTCACCTTACCTTTTCATGTGACTTGATGTCTGGTCAATTCAGTGTCCGGTGCGATGAAAGTCTGTTCTGACGGCCCAACGCCGCATTCACCGCGATTATAACACATTACGGTCACCACAAGTGACCAGTAGTAGAGTAGGTTTCACTTGAACGCATTTAATTGAGAGCAGGTAGTGATGACGTGAAAATCGTGGAGAAACAATTTCGCTTCTCTTTTGGTGGTTTTTTAGGGGTCGGCTAATACAGGGACAAATTTGATATTGAAGTCATACAATCGGCTATCTATGGACGAGCTTATATATGGTAAGTAGCCCCCGTGGTTAACACTCTCAGTAATCAAAGGAGAGCGGTCATTGGTTCTACGACGCAATACTTTGACAAGTTCCCTCGCCTTGCAGCTCGCTCGCAGGGCTATACATCCTATAGTTTTTCGTCGCATTAACTGCGCATATTTGATTCTGATGGCAAGTTCGTGCATTTGTAAGATGAATGAAAATTCATGGGTTTTCTTGTATGACTATGTTAATTTTCTGCTTTTCTGGTTTATTGAGACTTTGATTTCATTGTTGGAGACATGAGCAATACGATCATATTGTGGAGCAAGCACGGTTATAGCTGAATACTGAATACTACATTGCAGAAGCAAGGAGATGTTAAAATCTGTCCAATTCAATCGGAATATTATTAAAAATGTCATATAATGCATCTGCCACCTGTTCATACTTTAGGCCTTCTTTAAGGTGAAAATATCTGGAATAACATATCACTGGGTTCATAAATGTAAAAAGTCATTGCCAATGTGTAACCGTTCTCTGAACCGAATGGCGATGGAATTTGAAACCCAGGAATAGCTACACAGATTTGACCTCCACAATCTGTTCTGGAAGACTATTCCAAACATTTACCACGTTCCGTTGGAAGTAAACGGGGTGGGGAACTCGCTTTAGATCTGATCCTACAAGCTTGTACCGATGTCCCCGTGTGCCGCACGACGTTCGCAAGTGAAGAACCGGCTTCAAAATATGAAGGTCATCGAGATGTAGGGAGGTTACGAGGAGATCGACTCGCAGCCGACAATAGGACAAGGAGTAGACAGTGGCGTAGCAAATACTTTTGCTGCCCGGGACGGCGGTAATTAGTTTGCCCTAACTGAGGGCAGAATAGGCAAGTTATTTGGGCCTTTCAAGTAAATTCGGTCCAGCCAAGACCAAGCCTTGCATTATCTGCCTGCAGATATTGGAGGGCTAAGTTTTCTTCTTTGGAAGGAGCTTATATGTCTTCATTTCGGGTCACCACTGGAACAATTGTTTGTTGAAATTATTACTGAGTCAAAGCTAGCCAAATAATCTTTGTACGAAGCACCATTGACGCTAAACTGGACCCTTTGTTCAACATGACCTCCTCAGTTATGCTGAGTGGACGAAGCGATAAGGTTTTGATCCACGCTTCACTGTTGGTGCAAGCATTCTTTCTGGTGAGCTTGTTCAACTTGGCACCTAAGGCTAATTTACGTTAGGTTCACGTGCTACTCACAGGACGCTCGACTGTGGATTCAACCACTGTGCATTTCAGGCGAACCATGCTAATAGGACACTACATGGTGACCTATCAAAAACACTATCCACTCCAAATTTGAGGTTTGATTTTCACGTACCGCATCTTTTCACAGTTTTATGCAACCGTACCTGTCCCGCTTGCTTGTTAACACAACCAAAATTACACACACACACACACACACACATATATATATATATATATATGCACCACTATACCAGTTACAATATAATTGGCAGAGTGCCACAACACATAAGAAGGAAAATGGATAGCATGAAAGGGAAAACAACTGTTAGGGTAAAAGAGTCTCGTAGAGAGTGCGCTATTGCGTACGGTCCTTGGTCATATCCTATAGCGTATGCAACCAGGTGTGCTCGGGGCCCTTTGGTCTCCAAACCGAGAGTCAGGAACGCCCGACAACAGCCAAAACTATCAGTATGATGCGAAATCTGTTGCTCGAGTTATATGTGTTCTCAGTATTACGCGAGTTATTTTTTTCTGAACCAGTAATTTCATTTACAACAACATTCGGAATGACAGTGTAACATACTGGAAACGCACCTACCCGGGTGCATAAAGCCCACTTGGACTTGACCTGACTAGTTCTATCGTCGTTCAAGGCCAGTTCAGTTATCAATCAGCACTATTACGAAAAGTGACAGAGACCACTGGGGTGTGCTAGTGGGGAGAGCGATCCAATCGGAAGCGGCTCAATGCCCGCTAACACACCCGACAATGGTGACAAATGTAAAAAGGCATGTGTGCCATGTATTTAGACGAAGCGAGTTTGGGCCGCATCTTGTTTCATAATGGAACCACACTTTGAGCAGAGTAGTGATATAGCGACTGCACATGTCGTCCATACAGCACAAGTTCGAGACATTCGAGAGCCCGTAATCGACGCATCCGTGCCTGACGGGTACCAGCAAGTTCTCAGAACACACCGAGCACGTTAAGCCATTGGTCTCTCAATGGAGACCAATGCCAACCGCAAGTCAGTCACCAAGGCGTAGCGCGAATGAAGCGACAAAGCACAACACGCGTCACGCGTTATACCCAGCGTCGCCATTCGTGTAGCGATGCTCCCACACATCGCCGTCATCCTGATAAAACAAACCGAATCAAACTGTCGATGGCCTCGTCATTCATTGGCTCTAGAAATAGTGAAACATGATTGACAGGAAAATCTTGTAAACCAGCCGGCGTACAATCGGAAGTGGAACTAAACTAATTAGCTGACCCGTAAAACTAGAGCGCAGAAAGTAACCACATCGTGTTGAATCTTTGAGATTAAGAGGACACATAGGTGAGACGAACGAACCCAGCGGACATGCATGGAGTGGAGTGAACACACAGAACAGATCTGGTGTACGAAGTAAGTCAGAGAAGGATGATCACGAACGACATAGCAAAAATCGAACGCTGTGATGTGCACCCATGAAACTCTTCTCAGTACACCTCTGATTGAATGGCTAATGTTCGACCCGGCGTGCCATATCAATCAGGAAAATTCAAATTCAAATTGGCATTGGGGTAGAAGTACTGAAAGCAGACGAAATGAAGATAGTAGCGTGCGATTCCATGCGACAAGCATTCGGAGACAAATTCACAAGGTTGGTGTAGAAAATAGAAATATAAGTGGAGCAGCTGAATAAGCAACAATTCTGTAAGAAAAAATAATGAACGGCACGAAATTATATGTAGGCAAATTAACCTTCGGTCACACGTTCGTTCAAGATGTCGTGTTATCCAAGAGACGAGTTTTTCCAACTGACTTAGTACGCGGGTGCGGAGCTCTTCTGAGCTTAGTTTATGGGCATATCTGGGAAAAAAGAAAGTTAAACAATTGCGAGGCAAAATTGACTGAGACCTATGATTAATAGCAATTTGTCAGTGTGGGCATGTTCGCGGAATAAAGACAAAGACCGGTTAATCACATTATTACAGAATTGACAAAGTAAGCAGGCGAATTCGACCCGCAATAAAAGGCAACAGTAGCGGCTGCAAAGATGTCAGAAGCAAAGGAAAAGGGCAAAAAACGAAAATACCACATGAAATAGGTAACAACTACAGGTGAGTGCTCCTGAATAGACAACCGGAGGGTATCACCGCACTTTCCAAGCTGTCCAGTAATAGGATGTCGCTAAGCTCGATAATCAAATCACCTGCCTAGTAAAGTGCAGTACAAGTAGAACATTTTACCCCATGTTGACCAGTTCAATAGATGCATTCTGTCAAATAGATCTACAGGCGATGTAAGTTTTCACACAAACAACTTAGGAGAGTTGTGCGATATTTCATCCAGCTAGTATACGAGCCAATGATTAGTGAAATAAGGCGACTTCGAACCTAGTGGATATGCATATATTCTTTCCATTTTGAGCGATATTGTAATCCACAATTTTAAAGATGTTGATATCGTCCCTAGCAAATGAGAATGTAATCTCCTACAATGCATTTGGGTAAAAAGTCATACATATGAGGTACGAATGCGGAGTTGATGGAAAAAACAAACGATGTCTGAAGAGATATTCTTCGTTGGTTCAGTCTACTCCAGCCGACCGCAGCTGGAAAATCCCCACTGAAGGGTCCAGCTTTTATCCGGACACAGTGATCGTTGGTGGTCACACATGAATTTTCAATTTAGCTGATTGCAGCAGTAGATCGAATAAAAAGTAGGAAGTAGCTTCGGGGTAGATGCATGCGGGATTGAGAATGTGGATGGCCTTCTCTATGTGCCGGCGATAAACATTATAGTATCGGCACAATCTTTTAACGTAAACCACCGCATCTCTGCACCGAGAGCCAACCAATCTGAACAATGTGCTGGGTCGAAATTCAACATGACAACCGAATACCTGAGATAGCGCAAGTCGGTGCATAGTTGAAGGGTTAGTTGGATTCTGAACAGCGCCCAACTTGTTCTCCCAGCATAAGAGAAAAAAAATTCCTTCGCAACTGTCTTCTGATTAAGTCTTCCACAGGCACAATTTACGAGGTGAAACCGCGCATTCAGCCCAGCACGTATTCTGACTTCAACAAGTGTTTGAACTACAACACAAGGCTTGCGGATGTGAAGAGAGATCGAATTCATCCGAAAATATTTACGGCGAAAACAGTATCCAAAATCCTATTGAAGGCCTTGAGGCGGAGTCATATAGGTGCGATATCCAAGTCTCTCAGACGTCATGCGTACAAACTTCTGGAAGTAATTCAGGCAAAAATACCGGCGTTAGAACAACTCTGTTCACAAGATCACCCACGTGTGTTGGAGCTCAATGCTGACGAACGTGAATCGTCCGAAAGCTATGTGCAAGCGGCATGCACCAAGGGCAGAGAAATGAAATATACATAATTGCTTACAAGTTTGAAATCGACCATAACCGATTCCAAATTTTCATTGCATCCAGAACGATAAGTACAACAAGCTTCCTAAAGTGTAAATGAACAAACTACAACATTGAGGCTTTTCGTTAGGATCGAAGTTTCGTTCCTCGAAGCGAGGCAGGTTGAAGTTTCAGTTAGAGACTCCAGTCGAAAGTTAATGCATTAGTTGAATGATTTGACACCGGCGTCCTCCCACGGCAGTGACACCTTTAAAACCAATATATACACCGTTCTCGACAGCACCTAAGGCTACAGACCGTAGTGCACAAAATAAGTACTAGAAGACTGTTACAGTCTACAGGTGCGAAAGTAATGCTAGAATGCGTATGCAATGATGGATCGTTGCCAAACGCCGCAAAGACAACAGACAACGACTAGCTAGCGGCACGCAAACGTGTATTCTGGTCAGAACGTGTATAAAGCATCCATTAAGTAACTGAAGCCTAGGTGCTTGTGAGTGGGTGATGGACAGATAAACAGACCCACACAGTTGATGCTGGTATAACAAGCATTGGATATGGTGACTCATAAGCCATAAAGGCATTGTGAATCAGTCAAGGAACTGACTGATTAGGCAATGAGGGGTACTATGGAATGAATCCTTTCTGTCTAGCGCTGCCGATGAGTACAAGGCGTGCGGCAAACAGTGAAAGTTATACAAAAGCGAGGGAGCACGGAAGCGCCAACAGTTCAAAGAGCAGATTGCAAGTGGGTCCCTGCAATTGAAAAATAGCACTTGAGGCCTGCAGGCAAAGTAGAAGTCATAGAGGGCTCTGAAAAACAGCACCCAAACATCCAGCATCGCTCATCGCTTACATATATTGAAAATGGCCGCGAATCTGCACCGAGTTCAACATCCAAAGTCTCAGCGAACTCTATAGCGTAAACTGCGGTGTGCAGGATGTACGTAAACTACGTACCAGTCTTGACGACAAGAAGCCTGTCGGTCCTACCTAGCTCCACCCACTGATTCTCAGGACGTTTCCGGTCATTATCGCGCCTCACGTGACTGAGCAGTTCAACAGATCGCCATCTGAAGACGCATTGTCAGGTAACTTAAAACGCTTGGTGTTAAAGCCGATTCCAAAAGACGGTAACTCAAGCAAGGTGGACAGTTACCCGCCAATTTGTCTGACCATCGTTTTCGCAGGTGCAAAGAAGATCCGAAGAGTCTGCTGCAGCTTCAAAGTAGAAAACTCCGGCGAAGGCATAACACAGTTTCATGAAAAGTCCTCATGCATCACCACCCTACTGGTGACGCGGCATGAGTGGTTACAACCGCTGAATAGGAAGAAGTGGTTCACATGTATATCAGTAAAACGATCAACAACGCTAACCACCAGATCCACCTACAAAGGCTGAGGAACGACGGTGCTGATGACGCACGACAAAAGTTGATGGCCGACTTCCATATCGGGCAAAGGTGAAGATTACAAGTGGACGATCATCTAACAGACCAGTATCCTTCCACTAGTGCCGCAAAGCCAAAGCAAAGTACTAGATCCCATCCTGTTTCTGATCTACATCAAGCAAGTACCTTAAAGTGTGCCTTGTTTGCGGAAGACCAGAGAAGTTGAAGAGTATCTGAAACCTCAGCGTCAGATCGATCACGTGTCCATGTAGTCTGCAGAGATCGACCTATTCAAGTCCTTACTCATGGGCCTGAGGAAGGGTGGTGATGGACATAGGTACAAGCTAGTCAGCCGACTGACGCACCTGACACCTTCCGCAAAGCAGTAAGGCGTACTTTTACGATGCGATCTAAAGTCCGTGGACAACACCAATACGCTGGACGGAAGCGTATTGCGCTTGCATAGGGCCATCAAACGCAGCTTCTGAACTCGGTATGAAGAGGCTGCACTCGCCTCTTCTCTCCCATCACAAGGCCAATGAGCGAATGCGGCTCACTTGTCTATTGTACGATCCCCCGTTGTGAGATGCAAAAATTGGAACGTATTTGGCTGGTAAATATCAAGCTCGTCTCCAGTTTACGATGTATGTC